ACACACATATAGGCTGTTCACTAAAAATCTATATACATGTAATATAAACTATAAATTAACAGTAGAACTACAATCGATTTGTAAAATAATTATTTTGGTAAAGAGTTTGAAAAACTTTGAAAAAGAAATCATCAATAATCAGCACGCTTAGGGTAGCACATAGCAAAATATAAACATTAGTAAACATAAATAAAATGCTAGATTATTGTTTAATTTTGTATAACTCGAAATACTAGCCATAGACAAGCCAAATAAAATGTCGAATAATAAAGAACAATCAAAATGTTCATGTGTAAACGTTCAATCTTAAAAAAAATGAGGAAGTATGTGTAATTAAATGTTAAAGCCCTTAAAATTTCAAAATGTTTAAAGAAAAAATACATTATAATAATACTGACTATTGTTTATTGGCATATTAGCATCATGGTGTAATGGCGAGCTGTTAAGCAAATAATTCCATAAGTAATCATTAGAATTCGCCACTTAATAACAGAAACATTAAGAGGAGAAATTAACATTATGTTTACACTAACCATATAATACTATCTTCTCCTCTATAACAAATTTCATTTTGTTACTTTGATTACGTGATTTGTTTTAGTTCGTCTTCACATCGATTTACGTTCGGTTTTAAATGTTAAACATTTCTATCAGTCTTGTAATAACGATCCATTATATAGGAACACATTGAATAACATGCGATTTGCCTTTACTTTCTCGATAACTCAATTCTCGAGGGTGATGTTTCTATTCACAGTGAGATGCACACGTTCGTGCTGCAAAAGGGGTGGAAATGATCTATCTGCCTTTGTGGTTATAGGAATCCTGCGGATTACGGCTGAAATCGGGATGCACAGCGATCTAAACGCGTCGCCAAGAAACGCGACACCTTCCCATTTCCAATCCTTTCAGAACGTCGCCACAATTCTCTCCTCCCACCCTGTATATTTTACCTTTTCCTTTTTCCTTTTTTTCATCCGGCAGGTGAGTTGATATCACGCGCATGATTCAAACGAAATCGAAATTCGGGCAAGAATGACACAGGAATCGAATAGATGATGATATCGTCATAGAGTTCAAATTGATTTCTTCTACAGCGAGAAAGAGGAGAGATAGCGCGAGGGTTCAACATTTTAATTAAATAAACCGCCTGTGGTTTTGTGTCGTCGGTGTCGATAAAGAATAACGTTGCATATATGAGACTAAAGTGGCGTCACGTAGACTGTGTCACTTTCTTCCTTCCGGGAAGCCAAACGTGAAAACATTATTTTAAAATATTGCAAATATTTTCTTGCAATCCTTTTTTTCATGCCAAACATGTCATTAATTGAACGCTCCAAAACGCCTACAACTTTAACTCTCTTAAGCATTTTTCAAAAATAATGTCTTTTGTTAATTTTTTTCAATAATTCCTTGTGATTTTTACTGATAGATGATTTTAGGTGCTCTGAACAACTCTAAACATTAATCCAAATTTTGGATTATTAACAGCTGACATTTCAGATGCGGTCCAAAAGAGCAAATAATGGATCGCAATGGCCATTTTTTACTGAAGCTATTGTCTCTCTTTTCTAAAAAATCTTTTATAAAAATTTTTTTATTGTAAGTATCGCCTTTTATTATAAGTAAAAAAACCATAGTAAATAGGAGTAAACCCAATACTATTATACATTTCAATACTATGGTATAATATATACGTATACATTTCCATTCTTTAAAACTTAAATTAATTAATCTGCACAAATCCAAAATTAACTCCAAATTTATATCAATTTTAATTTTAAAGTGAACGTGTTACAAATATGCAACACTTGCCTAAGCTTAATGACGTATTTTGGAAATTAAATGGAATTAAAAAATTAAAGTATATAAAAAACTGTTGCTTGAGAAAAATAAGTGTGAAGTTTCGCATGAAATCTGTTACGTGTCAAACGTAAACAAAGTATATCAATTTGTCATAGTTCTCTGCAGGAATCATTTCTGATATGACGTGGAGCAGGAGAATTATTCCAAGTGCTTTAAAATAATCTCTTACGCAAACGCGCTTATGCAAATCCCCGTTACTGGCGTTGCCAAGTGCACCGAGTTACAATCGTGGATGCGACATATAATCTATGACGAGTCTTACTGGTTCTCAAGATCGCTAACTTGTTATTACGTGATGTCTGAGAAATTTAAATCCCGATTTTATCGATTGCGTTTTCCATTTCCATTTCCGATTACATGCGCATTTTTGACCGTTCGTAAGTACGTGGGTAAAAGTATATTATACATTTATCTTATGTAACTTCTATCTAATCGATGTACTTATACCCATACTTTGGTTAACTTATTATTCTAATTGCGTTCAGCTGGAAATGCTCCTTCTATTGGCAGTTATCGCCACACCGGTAGATAACTCGTTTGTTAGATGTACATGTCGATTATGTCGGAAAAAGAATATTTGAAGAGGCTTTATTGAGATGTATTATTTAAATATTCACCATAATATAGTATAAAATATCAAAATATAAATGATAAATTAAAATAACATTTTTAATCAGTAAATACTATCGCAATTTTATATGGATATAACAGTTTTTTAAATTCACTTCTACACACTATGTGGTAATAGTGTTACAACTAAAAAATAAAACAAAAAAATAAAACAAAAAAAGGTTCAAGCAGTATTAACTACAATAATAATTATTATAAATTAAATTGTGATAATTGCAGCTACTCGCTTTCTCTCAATGCAGTGGAATATTTTCTTACTCAAAATTCTTATAGAAATATCATATTGGTACATATATTGTACGCAGTACTTCCGAAAATATCGATTTCAGATTTTTTGCTTGACGAACGACTATTGCGTTGAGATATCACGCTATATATTATTGTGTAATATTAATTATTCAATTAATATGCAATATTATTGTGCAATATTAATACAAGAAACGATCGCATTATTTTGTGAAATAATAATGTGACGACAAGGAGTGATTCATGCTGCTGCTTATCGCCTCAAGTCTCGTCGTCGAATTGTGACAACACAGTTGTTTGCATAGCAGAACACTTTGTACGCTCCAAAAATACAAAAGTACTGAAAATCAGCCAATTGTAACAGAAATATTTAACGCTTTATGGAATAAATTCGTTATCAATATTTTGTTTGTTAGGTTTGACATTAACTTTGAATAAATATTGTATACATTAAATGTGATATTCTTATTTAAAAAATGAGATTTACCTTGCTTTGGCCAATTAATAATAGCAATTTATTTTATATTTCTTATTTGTTTTACGAGAGATCATTATTATCATGCTAATTATGTCATAATTTATCGGATCTCTACAAATAAGGCATCTTGATGTAATATTAGTTTGTGCTTTCTTTGATAGAAATTAAAAGACTTGAAGAAAAAACTTCGAAAGGTTTCAATTAAAATTTTTCCGTCAATATTGCCGTTCAAATTCATAATCAATTTATAAAAATCCAATTAGAAATTCTGTTCAAACTGCAGCGAAAATCATTCAAAACATTAGACGCTTTCCGCTTCGTCCGTAGATTACGAGAAATAAAGAGAAAAAAGAGCTAAAGAGAGAGAGAGATGGAGAGAATTTATTATACATTTTTTACATTAGTAATTGCTATTTTCTTCAAGAGAACTTTATAATATGAGGTACTTAAGAAAGATTTCAAACGAGCTTCGTGTCGTGG